TAAATCGCATAGTTTAAAATTGATTACAAACTAAATAGAAAGTTTTAGAATATTTAAAAAGTGGCTCTCATCTAACTTCCTAACCTCGCCGATTACCAAATCACTTTAACGTCTTGTAGAGAAGGTATAGTTTCTACCACAACCCCTGCGAATTCGTATTCGTGGTTGCGAATCTATTTTTGTGATTCTTGTGACGGAAAATCGTTACTTTAATGCTTTAGTATAACGAGATGATCTACCAAAATCAGCCAATCACAATAGAAGTTCGTATGCTTGTGATGAATTTCAGATTTGAGTGTCTCAAAAATTCTGAGCGGGTCAACCATTGGTTGAACAATAAGCCAATTAGTTATAAATTGGTTGGTTAAGAGTTGGGTTAATATTTTATATAGAGGTGATTACTTTTTTTTATAGTGTGAGTATTTTTAAATACAGTATATATAGTGTAAAAAGCTTTAAATCTTTATAAAAAATAGTTTTACAAAAAGTACTGCTATTTTTTTAAAAATTTATAAATTATAAAATTAATTAACAAAATTTGTTCTTGTAAATAGATCAAAAATTATTGCTAATTCTATAAATTAGCCTATATATAAAAAAATATTAAGATTTAAAGATAGGCAAACCAATGGCTATAACAGAGCTTAGTTTAAAATATAAGGTTAGTATATCTAAAAAGTAAGTAAAAGAGCTAAAATATTTATAGAATGAGCAAATTGTATAAAGAAATAATACAGCAGAAGTGATATAATTTAATTACTGTACTTTTAAAAAAGATACTATATGAATAATACAAAACAAATTCAAGATAAATTTTCAAAAACTAATATGTAATATCAATACTTCTCATATGAAACTAGTAATAACAACAAGTATCTGGTTTAAAAAATGTTTACAAAAGGCTTTTTGTATAATAATATTAAAATTGTAATTTGAAAATAACCAAGGTTTGATAATAAAATATAAAGTAAATACTGTATAAGTAGATAACTAACAGTAGTTTAGTACAAAATTCAGATATAATTTAATATATAGTAGAAATATAGTATACTCTAATAGGTAGTGTTTCTACAAACCAGAACTGAACTTTAGGCAAGTTTGAGTCTGGTTTGATTTTCAAACCAGATTCAAACTTTATATTCAAATTTTTTAGCAAGTTTAGATTTGGTCCAAAGTTTGAAAAATAGTTTGAGTCTATTGTAATTAATATATATATTTTTTAGTATTAAACAATTTTACTTAGTGTATGAAGTAAGAATTAATTAATAAAATTTTGATAATTTTAAGATTTTATAAAATTTTATTAATAAAATTTTACAAACTCTTAAAATTCTCAAAATTTTATTAATTAATTCTAACTTTATACACTAATTAAATTTATTAATTATAACTTCATGCACTAATAAAATTTATTCAGCATATTGGCAACCCTTTCTGACAATTTTTTGGTCAACAACAAAATAAATCAAACTACAGAAAAATACTATAAGAAAGCAACAAAGTAGACATAACAATACTTTTAGTCTATACAAACAAACTTGCTATCAATGAAGCTACCATATATGTGAAATACCGAGAAGCAGATGTATAATAAAGAGTGGGCTGTGCCTTTAAGTTAAGCTTTTTAGTGGATTCTCTTGCACTTTTAGCATTCAAACCAGAAGGGTTATTCTGAAAGCAATATCTCTGTAAGTCCTTGGTTAAGAATATTTAGTAAAAACTAAGAAACTGGATTATACAATTGTAAAACTTACAAGAAAAACCTCATATACTCTTGTTGGTCCACTACTTTTTTCAAGAAAATTTTTGTAAAAAGTAGACGATTTAGTTTATTCTCTTTAAAAGATCAATATCATGTACATAAAACAGTCAGCATTGTTTATTTTCTAAATTGGTATAACAGGACAACAAACACGTCAAAACACATACCTTGAATACAAAAGCTGATCAAACAATACTCTGAAACTAATCTGGATCGAGTACTGACCTCTCTATCTAATCTGGTCGAAGAAGTGTTTATCTAATGATATTTTAAATTTAAATATACTAAATAGATAACTTTAAAGTAAAGATACAATTTATTTAGTATAGTATATAATTTTTTAAAGCCTTTCACAAGCCTATAAATATGATATTAAGATAGTCATTCTTTTTGTTTTTGCTTCGATATTTCTCTTTATACTTATTTTTTTGTTTGTATCTTTTATCATTATCCTCTATATCTTCATATTTTTTTTATTTAACTTTTTTTTTGTTGGGTTTCTTAATGAAGTATGCAGCTGCTCTAGCTAGTAATTATTAGGATTAAATTTTTAGTAAGTTAAAGATCTAATGTGAAGCATAGTGCTGCTAGGCAGGTCATACCTAGGCCTTAGTGCCAAGTGTAGCTCTTCATGCAGTTGGATTATAGTATAGAAAATTATATTCTCTGTTAATATTAATCTTCTAATACTTCTAATAAAGTATAAGGCAGAACTACTGAATGAAAAAAAATTTATTCAGCATCCAAAAACATATTAAACTGGTAGAGTTATTTTTATTTTACTCAAAAGTTTAAGAAAAAATATTTAATTTTGATATTTTAATTAAAAAAAAAAAATCAAAATTAAGCATCTTTTTTCAAACTTTCAAGTAAAACAAAACAATTTTACTAATTTAATATATTTTTAGATGCTAAACAAATTTTATTAATGTATGAAGTTAGAATTAATTAATAAAATTTTGAGAATTTTAAGAGTTTGTAAAATTTTATTAATAAAATTTTATAAAATTTTAAATTTCTCAAAATTTTATTAATTGATTTTAACTTTATACACTAAGTAAAATTGATTAACACCAAAAAATATATATAATTACAATTAAACTCAAACTATTTTTCAAACTTCAGACTGAACTTATAACAGAATTTAAATTTGGATTAAGATTATAGCTATTATCATTATTTCTGTGACATCTGAAGAATTTTCAAATGATTAAAATATCATTTGTTTTATTCAGTAAATTACCTAACTTCTTAGAAACTATATTACTGTCTTCGAACCTTTAGCCTGAAGACAGCAATATAATTTCCAGAGAGCTAGAAAATTTATTAAATGAAACAGAAGATATTTTGATCATCTAAAAATTCTTCAGGTGTTCCAGAAATAATAATAATAGCTGTAAAATTTAAAGTTTGAGTTTGGTCTGATCCCAGACTGGACCAGACCCGAACTGGACCTGGACCGAATCTAGAAGCACTACTAATAGGTTTAGATTATAAATAAATTAGTCTAAGCTTATATTTTTAATATAGATATAATGTTATATAAGACAACTACTACAATTAATATATCTAATAAAATATATGAATATGATCTCATCTTAATACTGAAAAAAAGAATTAAAGTTAGAATTAAAATTAAAATTAGGTTTTTTATAGTATTAAACATTTTTACTTAATACATTAAATATAGCTAATTTTCTTTGTACAAGAGTTATACTCCTGTATAATCTTTGCTTTGTAAGAGAATTAAATTAAATTTTAATAAAGACAGAGACATGGTCTCACCATTAATATTCAAAAAAAAAATAAATATAGCTAATTAAGTTATTGTTAAGTTATAATAAGAAGATAGTTATATTATCTAGGAAGGCAAGTTAGCAATATTCTTTTTTTTATATACAAAAACTTTTTTGTTTACAGAGCACACATTGGAATTTTTTTTTGCTATTCACACAATCTAACCTTAGTATTGTATGTAATATATAATAAAATTACATGATTTATTTGTTAGTCAATAATAGTCCAGTTCAATTTAGTTTAATAAACTAGACTGGTTCAGTCCAACCCTATATACTCTATACATAATTTTACTATATACTTACCCCAATGCCAACATATATTTCTTACAATGGAATGTACTAACAATTAATATCTTTTACTAATGCAATGTAAACTGTAAACAATATTCTGATTCAATGTTTCCAATATACGTAATAATGATTATCTCATAATTCAAAAATATAAAATAATTGTATAAAGCAGCATTTTACATTTATTGTAGTGAGTAGATTTAAAGGCTTTCATCTGATTGGATAGATTCGACGGAATTATATTTCCTCTTGTAATCGATTTGCCGTTTTGAAACATCCAACCATTCGAAAAAATCACACTTTTGACCTTCATTGACACCTGAAGCATAGCACATGTAAAAATATTTACCAATGTTTGGGCCTCGCATCACCGGTTTCAAGACGCATTGAATTCCACAAGAACATTTTGGAGTCCATTCAGCAGTATATTCATCTCTGAATTGTCTGAAGGTGATATTGATTCGCTTTGAACCAGCGATTGGATGGAAACTATCAATGACATTTTGAGAGCATACTTCATGTTTCCAAAGTTCTTGACAAGGAGGCCACATGATAAGAAGAGAATTATGAGGAAGAGGAATTGATATAATTCTTGAAGATTTTTCATTAATTCGACGAAGACGGAATTGACGAGTGGTACCAAGTGAAAGCGAACCAATTATTGGACGTGGACCAAGGCGCGTTAACTTGGAAAAAATAAATTTAATTGCAATTTTATTTAATTTTATTCTAGTTACAAAAAAAAAAAAAAAAAAAAAAAAGATATTGAGATATTGCGTAGTACGTACTTGATCGCTGTGCCAACCAACACTTTCTATTAAATATATAAATTTAATTTCGGCTCGGGATTCGGGAAACAATAATATGAATTAATAAATCTTGCCTTTTGAGTTTGCATAGCAATTTGTCTATAATAAAAATCAATTACCAAATCATCGAGAACATTCCTACGTATTAAAAAACTAATAATAAAATCAACTTCTTACAACAGCAACATTTGGATTCCATCCACCCTGTATCTCGAATTCGTGACTTTTTCAACCATATCATGTGATATAAGATAATGTGGTACAATATAATTAATGAAACGCGGTATTACAATGTTATAATAAGCATTAATAAAAACGGGTACGTAAGCAAATGTTATATTACATCACTTTTTTCTTGCGTTTTTCGTTAACAATGTTCATTATGATCTTTCTTGCTTCTTCCATTTCTGGTAAAAACTGTCGCGCATTCGAAGTTTTTTTACCGTTAAAATAGACATCACCATCATAAGTGTTCTTGACTTCATTTGAAATGTAAAAAGATGATGTGCGTGGAGAGGTAACCATCCGCTCAAATAACCACCATTGACTTCGATGCCATGTCTCAGACTCTTTAAGCATAACTTTTAATAAAGAATTTGCCAATTCCTTGGGTAGCACATCGTGAATAAGTGTACATGGTGTTTTTTCACTGATATCTTGCGGTCTGAATAATTTTAATACAGGTTGAATAATTCTACGTGGTTTTTTTAAATTGTATGAATTTGTTAAAGAAGGCCACTTAAATGCGTCATTCGGGTTAACTTTTTTAATTGAAGTTTGTTGAATTATAGCAGTCTCTGTTGGAAAGTTGTCATTTTGCATAATTTTTTTCGTTTCTTCACCGGTTGAGTGGATATCACAATCATTTAATTTGATTTTTTTAGACACGTTATCAAAAAAATGCTCTAGTTTTGGCTGTTTCAATGGTCGTTTGCGTCTCTCCTGATCTAAATAGATATTCACCGCACGATCCAAGTCACCCTTTGCGCGTTTTAGAGCATCATGTAAACTTGTTTTATTAGCATCTTTGAAAAGGGCCGAAAGTTGACTCTGCTTATCATCAAAGTCAGACATTGCATACTTTGCGGACAAGAACTAAAACAACACGACTAGCATTAATTGTTTTTATTGGTTGATATTTAAGAGCTCTGATTGGCCAAAATTATCTTCTATGTACTGTGGTACTCCGTGTCAATTTTTATATCTTATTATCATATCATATGCCTTGCTCACGTGAAGTTTAAACATTCGCTCGAACCAATTCTTTCACTTTAGAAACTAAAAGCATTGTCAGAATTGTTTTCAATAAAACGTTTGTATGAAAGTTAGGCTTTAAAAAACAATTTTTGGTTTTTTTGATAAAAACTCGTGTAATAACGCTTTTTATTAATATAAAACTAGAATTGCACATGTGAGCGCCTGGCTAAGATTGTATACAGTAGAGGTTGGACCCGTTGAGAAAATCCCTACCCGGGTATTATTAAATTACCCGGGTTATCCGGGTAATTTATTATGATCATATATCAACAATTTCTACCCGGGTCCAACCCCTAGTATACAGTACACATGATATTAATCATATTGTGAATACGTAGTTCAATTGGAATTAGAGGTTAATATGTACTGTACGTACGTACGTAAGTACGTACAGTACAGTCTACGTTGATATAGCCACAATATTTTAGTTAATTTTTTGTAGGTTAGATATAATTTGGTTAGGATATAGCTGGTAATACCAGCTATATACCAGCCTGGTATATAGTATAGAATAGATTTATTGTAATTAGTTTCATAGTATTGGAATAGTATTATGAGGCGAAAATAACGAATGGTTGTTCTTTTAATCATGAAATATTTATTTAGAAATACGTAGAAATCGTAAAGTTAATCTCTAATCACCGATTAAATAAAAATGAGATTTTATTGAGTAGTCAACGGTAACACCAGTACTGGCCAAGGTGTTAACTTTATTACTGTATTAGGAGATCGCAATTATAGTGGTTGGCGATCCAATCACAACGTTGTCACGACTTTAATTTTTATAAACTTCACGATTGTACAACGTGCGTAACCAGATTTTAAATTTTGGGTACTTGTTCATGCTCTACTAGAAACAAAACAAATGGCAGATAGATTTGATCCTGATTCCTTACTAGCCTTAGAAAAAGCCTTCCTCAAAGTACAATTTCATTACTGTTTTATTTGTTATGTATTTCATATATTTTATGTTAGATCGTGATTCTTTAATTTACTATATGCATTAGGTACCCCTTGTACAGCTTAGGGGATCTACTTCGAAGGCTTATAAGAACTTTGAAAAGGAATCAAAACACATTCAAATGCAAATAAAACAACTACAGAATGAAATTGCTTTAAGTAACAAAGTCGATCCTGATAAAGTTAAAGAAATTCACGAAAATATCGAAAAATGGCTTGGAAATTCAAAAATTGAGGTTCGTTTATTAAATTTGTTTTTCTCGAATGATTTTTATAAATTATCAATTAAATATCTGGTTTTCTTAGTTTCTTGAAGCTCATGGTGAAGGTCAAAAACATGTCGCAAGGGGCCGACAGCGTGTTGATCATCTAGCAGAAGTATCTTTAATAAATAATGTTTATGATCCAAAATACAAAGAATGGACTGGAAAACGTGCTGATCGTGTTATCGTTGATTATTTATTGAGGGAAGGTTTTCGTGATACTGCGATCCAATTAGCTTGTGAATCCGACATTGAAGTATTTCTTAATTTATTAAAAATTTTTATTTTTATTTATTTATTTGTGATCTAATTTGAATTTCTTGCTATTAGTCCCTAGTTGATATTGACTTGTTCACCGAAGCTCATGTTATTGAGCAAGCTTTGCGAAAAAACAGATGTACAGAAGCTTTAAGATGGTGCAATGAAAATAAGAATAACTTACGGAAGATAAATGCAAGTAATGAAGATCATTTATTGTCGATATACTATCTATTCCTTTCATTAACATTTTCTAATGCTATATTATTTCACAGAGCACCCTTGAATTTCTTCTTCGTGTACAAGAAGTTATCGAGTTATGTCGTGACAATAAAAGAGAGGAAGCCCTTAAATATTCAAAAGAACATTTCAAAGCTTATATAGATGTTAATAAAAAGAATGGCCAAGATCCTAAAAAGTCTGACTCTCAGCCTGGTCCTATTAGGAGACGTGATAATGTTAAACCTATATCTTCCGATGATCCTCTTTACAAGCAATACCTTCAAATGATGGGTGCTCTTGCCTTTCCTCCTAATACTAATTGCAAACCTTATAAGGTATCTTCTCTTATTCTCAAATTCATTTCAAATGTATTTGTTTCATATGCCTTTCTGTTTATTATCTTACTCTTATTCGTTTTTATTACTTAGGCTCTATATGATCCTATTCGTTGGGAACGACTAATTGCTCGTTTTCGAATTGACTTTTATGAGTTAAATGCCCTCCCTTCTCAGCCTTTATTGAATGTCACCTTACAGGCTGGATTGTCTGCTCTTAAAACTCCAATGTGTTATCAACACGATAATAAAAATATTGATTGCCCTGTATGCTCGCCAGATACTCTTGGCACTCTTGCAAAAGGTTTGCCAATGAATCATCACGTGAATTCGACTTTAGTATGTCGGATTAGTAAAAAGATTATGAATGAAGATAATTATCCTATGATTTTACCAAATGGTTTTGCTTATTCTCATGATGTAAGTCACCTATTTTTGTCTATTTATTTATTTTCCTCACTTATTTTATCTCACTTATTTTGTTAATCTAATAAGGCATTAGCTGAAATGGCTTCAAAAAACGATGACAAAGTTATATGTCCCCGTACTGGTGAAACTTACGAATTCTCGAAGTGCAAAAAATTGTACATATTATAGTACACACCTACCAAAAATCACCGCAATCTATAATGTAACATGATTTAACGCTGATTGTAGTCACATGATTTTTGTTTTTTTTTTTTATGTAACAAATCGATATTCGCGTAATAATTAAAGTTATTCGAGAGGATTGATTTGCTTATATTTTAAAAATTTTTTTTAAAATGCTTAATCAAAATTTATTATTTTACATTTTAGGTTATTGTAACAAAAAACATTAAAATAAATAAATAAAAACAAATAAAAATAAAATTTATACTGCAACATTAATTAGGTATTAATTAAAGTATTCTACATATATATATATATATATATATATTTATATATATTTATAGAAAAATTAAAATTAAAGGTAATACTACATTAAGTGTTAACATTTAACGAAATAACTATATAGTATAAAAACGACACATTTTTTGAAGTGAAGGACTCAACTCACGTGAGAAAGGTATTATCGTAAATGGCAAATCAGAATTACTGACTGGACTGGACTTTATCCAATAGTCCAGTCCAATAGCCTAGCAATATACAAAATCAGGTCTATTGTTATAATATGGGTAAGTATTTTTGAACGGACCAATTTTATATATGACGTAATAATATTTTGGTCTGGATTCAAAAATAATCACCCATATTTATTATACTGTATTATATTTTTAAAGAATTCGTAATTGATCTTTTTAATAGATTATTTTATACGTATTAAAATTTTATCACTATATTTTCGCATAATAACATGCAGGGATGTAATTTCGAATTGTGGCCTAAATTAAAATTAATTCAGGCCAAAATTCGAAATAACGTTCATTACACGAAAATACGGTAAAAGCAATTTACTATAATTCAAAACAGTTTTTGCTATCATTAATATTACAAAAATTCTTTATTTTTGCTTAATATAAAGAAACTCAGCGATAAATTTATTTAACAGATACATGCTATATTTAAGACTGTTAATTAATAACCTATACAATTCATTAGGTATGATCGTATTTCTAATCTGCAACAAAATGCATAGCTATTTAATGTTAATGGATAATTCGGTTAATTTATTGAAACCTAAAAGTGACCTTTTATATCTGCCTATATAATGGCATATTAATCTACGATTATTCAATGCTAAGAAATAATTTGGATCTATAAAAAAATGCAGGAATTATATATAATGAAATTAATAAAATTGCTAATATCTCAAAATTTTACTATGATAACCTGTTGTGTAACATATGCAAAAATGTTCATTACGCAATTTTACCCTAGCATAACCCTAACCCTAATCCTAATTTAAACTTAATATACCTTAATTATTAAATGGTTCTAGGTTTGCTATAATTTTTAACTCTAGCTACATGTAGCCTATGTAGGGATGGGCTATAAAATTACATATTCTTACTTAATTTTACTAAATATTACACAAGATTTTTTGCTTATGCTGTTTCTATTTTAGCAGCAAATATAATTTTATTAGTGAAAACAAAACATGGCTAAATCAAATATTATCTAATTTATCAAAAAGCAACTAATTTTTAATATATTCTCATCATAATTTACAACTTTACTATATTTACAGAGTTTGGGTTCCATAGCTTAGTGGTTAAGCTTCCAAACCCCCACAGACTAGGTCAATAGTTCAAGTTGGGCTGGAGGCAAATTTTAATAAAATTTACTTCTGTAACCTATGGGGGCCATTAAATTGAATGCGAAGCCCTGTAGAAAGTCAAAATGCAGTACGAAACCAGAATAAGAAGTTCCCGAAAGGAAATCAGGTCATGGAGCATAAGCATTATGTGTAGTGCGGTATCACAAAAGGTTAGGTTATATAAATATCACGCAAATTAGTCCTTCGGTTGGGGTGACCTGGAGGCTGTACCAACATCCCTGCATCCAACTTGTGAGGTATTTGCTTGGAAGGGTGATATGATAATAGCTAAAACTGGAGTAGTGAGAGAAGCGGTGATACATGACCATGGGCTGTGGTAAAGGATTATACCTTAACTGGAATTGAAAGCACCTCTGGCTTTGTGGAACAACTAATTTAGAAAAGTTACTTGGCATAGAGGGTGTAACCTGTCTCTGTACAACTAAAGGAATCAAATCAGACTCTGGTCACACCTATATGGAAGTCTATGACGAAAAGAGTTAAGAATTTACCAGTATAAATACCACACCAACCAGGGTTGAGATACCCCAA